TTCATACATGTTTATTATGTATATTTTTGCGCAATCAACAAAAGCAAGTGTTCCGATACTTTTGTCCAGGTACTGTATATTAGTAGAACATTCGATTTTAATAAATTTTCTGAACCAGAAAACCACAAAGATCATTATATGTATTAAAAAAATTAAACAAATTATTTATTATTAAGAAATATTATTTATAATTAAAATTATATAAAATTAAAAAAGTAAAATATAATAATTAATTGTTATAATCTATAGGTGAATTTAATTTAATGCATTCTAAAACTTGTTCAATATCAGGACGTTCCTCAGATTCAAATCTCCAACAGCCTAATTTTTAAAGAAAAATTAATTATCTATACATTTTGCAAACAACAGCAACAGCAGCAACAACAACAACAACAACAAAAATAATTACTTTTATAAAGTTTTTCATAAAATTCCGGAGTATCTTTAACTTGTTCTTCACGAAGATTTTCATAAACAATCATGTAGCATAATTTACATGGTTCTTCGATATATTTATTTTCAAAGGGAATTTTTCCACTTGAAATTTCCCAAAATAATATACCAAGACTGTAAATATCTGCTTTTTTTTGATCTTCTATAAAACATTGCTTTTCCGGATTTTTTAAATATTGAGGATCCAAATATTGTATTGAGTTGAAATAATGAGAGAAATGTTGTTGATTTGGGCGAATTAATCGTTTAAATGATCCAAAATTATGTAATCTAACACTACCATCAAGGATGTTTATATTTTTAGATGTCTATTATCATATAAAGAAGAGATTAATTATTTCGTAAAAATTTTTAAAAAATAAAGAGACAATGATAAATACCAGGCCACCATGAACGATATTATTAACGTGTAAGCAATATAACGCAGATGTTAATTCTTTAGCAAGTTTTAATTTTTGTGTCCATGACAAATCATTAGTGCTTAGATATTCGTGCAAATTGTCTTTAGTATAATCAAGAATTAACGAATAAATATTTTCTTGAGTCGAGTCTATTGTAAATTTTTTAGTTTTTGAATTGAGATTAATTGAAATTAAAATGTAAATAAAGATGGAGATTAAATTACGTCGTCGCAGTATACCTTCAAATATTCCATAAAAATTTATAATGTTTTCATGATTTTGAATTCTTTGATGATCTTGTAACTAAAAATGATTTATTTAACGTTAGAAAAAACTTCAAAATAACAAAACAAACAAACAAACAAAAAAAAACAAAAACCTCTTTAACAAATTCTTTAATTGTGTATAAATCATTTAATTTTAAATTCAATAAAGAAAATCTTCTATGTATTTTATTTGAATAAACTTTTTTTAATACGATATCAGGTGAGTTTTCGATTATTTTTTCTTTTGTGAATGTGTCGTAATTATTTTCAAATACAAGAAATTCATTTCTTTTAGCTTTATTCAACCATCTCAATGCTTGGTTTTCAGTTTCTATTACAGCAATCATATTTATAAGGTTATTAATTGTGGTAAAGGTTTTAAATAATTGTGGATATTATGCAAGTAAAATGTTGGGCCAATAGTAATGATCTTGTTGTAATTGATTACAGAATTATATATTAATATGTAGTTCGAAGGAAATATAGAGAGAGGAAAGAACGGGAGAGGTAGATAATTTCTTGGCCATTATATATTATTTTTTTTGATAAATGACCTCGGCGGAATTCATATATTTATTTACTTTATATATACAAAAAAAAAATAAAGGAAAACTTTACATTGATCATGAGATTTCGGGATTTTTTTTATTATTTTACTTTTAAGTCCTCGACATTAATACATGCATATTTATTTCGGCAAATTGATTTATTTGTTAATACAAATTTAATATTTGAATAAATTTGGGGTTAATTTTTTTTGTTGTTCACCCCATCGCCTGATAAATCTTGTGACAAATTTGGAATTGCTGATGGACAAACCAATTGCGAGCTAGTATCACCATTATATGCATTTTATCGTAATAGAGATTAATTTTAGCTTAGAACCATACCCACTTTGCTTAATGAAATGCAGATCTTTTTTTTTAATTTTCCAAAAAACCCTTTTTTTGTTAAAAAATTTCAACCATCTGACTTTGCATCCACCAAAAAGTTTTTGTACATATTAATATACCATTATAAAGCCTAATATACTAAAAGTAATCCGATAAATGGAGATTATTATAACAACTCAACCATAAAAAAAAAAACGTGGACAAATAATATTAATATAATTCTTGCATTTGAAAAAATATTTTGTGTAAAGGGATGATAGCAATACACTTGAATCTATTAGACCAAAAAAAGGTATGAATATTATTACGTCAATGGCGAGTATGTTGAATGAACGAATGTATTGTTACCGATGTTGAAAGAAATTTTTTCATTAAGCAAAAGAATTAATGTGTAATTTTTTTATGTTGTATAATCTAGGAAATGAATGTTAGAAGAAGAAAAGTTTAATGCAAGCTTTCAACATCCTATAAATATATCGTTTATGAATAAAAATGTTTAATTCAACGTGGAAGATACTTTTTTTCCTTAAAGTTTGTGATTTTGTCATTTAGAGATTATTTTGGTATAGAGGTGTTTGTGTTGCTTCAAACTATAAGTGAATTTTATATTATGAATTATGATATAAAATACTGCTAGTGAATTTATTTTATTGTCTTGAAAATGATTTTAATTGTCCTTAAAGATAACGACATATTAATTAGTAATAAAAATCACCCAATTTCATTACGCATCAGCAAATCACAGAAAGGTCCGCTATGTTGGATTCATTGAGCATATTGAATAATAACGATAATAATAATTACAATAATAATAATTATTATTATAATGACAATAATTATAATTATAATGATAATTATAATTATAATGACAACAATGATGGTTAATTGCATGGATATATATGCAAACAATAATGTGCGAAATAGATTCTTATTTTCCATACATGTGGCGAAAATCACACGAGTTTTCGAAACCGAAATCGAAATTAATAATTAGGATCGAAATTGAGAATTTAGTCTCGAAATTCGGGAATTAATAAATAACATTTTTGCTTATATAGCTTATTCATTTCTTTAAATAATAACAATCCTAGAATCCGAAATCTTTATTTAGAAGTCTGAACATACATGATAGAGAAAATCAAAATGTCCCTAGCGAAATTAGAAATCGAAATCGAAATTTAATCTAATTTGAAACTATTTTACAAAAACCATAAGGACAACAACCGAATTTTTATTCACAGATCAATCAGCCGAATCTCAAAGATCATTTTCGTATTAGGAAGTGATACCTTCAGGAAAAGTTTTTATAACAGAAAAAAAATTTCGACTATTAATAGCCGAAAACCGTTTAAGGGATAATTATGAAGTGATGCATGTAATTAAAAAAACATATTTATATTTATATTTATATTCTTTTTTTTTAACTTATAAGAAAACGACAGATACATATTATATAGATAAAACATTGATTTGATGAAGTCAATGAAGAGTAAATAATGTATTAGACTGTATAACAAAAAACCAAGTCTATGATCCAGATAAATAAATATTATAATAATATTTTTATTTAGAATTTTCTTGCATCAACTTGAAATTCATTTGATTTCATTCCGAACTAAATCTCCTTTCCATTGTTTCCAAACTGCGTAATGATCTTTAAGCCAATAAAATTAATTTATTTAAATAATTTGTTCGACCAATAAAGGTTTTGCAAATAAAATAAAATTAAATAATCATAATAATCAGTGTTGGAATTCGACTGCTCCTTAATACATAAAACTAGTCTAATACTAATTTTAGAAATTATCTGCCAGATTTGGTTAGCACGTGCCGATTCCTGCCGATTGAATTTCAAAATGTCTTGGTCAGACATACAATAAACAAATTATTGAATGCAGAATTACGAAATATTTAGACTGAATGGTTTCCATCATTGCATGCTCCGTATGCAGTAACTTATATATGTTGTACACTATTTATTTTTTTCTAAAAAGATATCGTTTTATTTGAATTTAATGAAAAATCTCAAAAAGAAAAATCAAATATCTCTATTGAAACAAAAAGATTAAAACCGAAAAAGAAAGGTTTATTCAAAAACAAACTCAAGTTCAAATTTCGCTTAAATAATAATTTAGGAACAACACAATCCATTTAAACTTTATAATGAAGACTACGATAAAGCAGAGAAATTATTTTCTAATTTAAAGAAAAGCTGGTTTTACTGGTTTCTTCCTTCGAATTGTCACAGATAATCGAATATTATTAATTACTAGCAGTATGAGAAAAATGATATAAGCTTATCTCTCAACCAAGGGTATGATTATAAATAAAAGTACTGGGAAATAAAAGAAGTACAAAAAGAAGACAATACCATTAGTCAGTTTTCGGAAAGAATATTCCGAATTAAATGTTGACTTGGATAAGGATTAATGAAGAGGATGCTAACTGAGAAGTAATCGATAGTGATTTACATTTCGTTGCTTATTTTTAAAAAAATTCTAATGCTTTAATGGAACAAGTAAAGATTGGAAAGTGGATGCTTCTGAACTTGACTTCACGGAAGAATTCAATAATGGAAAAAATCAGAATTTAAAATAGTGGAACGTAAATGACACCATTTTTAAGAATAGGAGCTGGATGACATTTTGGAAAAAATAATAAAAAAAGTAGATGCTATTAAGTAAACCGTGACTGAAACTTTCAAAGCGCAAGATTATTTAGATGATCCAACTAACATATCCAAAAAAAAGTGATGTTGTTACGCTAAGTTTCGAATTGAATTAATTCAGGATCCATCGAGATTAAGTTGCGTTGGCCCGACCTGGTCTCGGTCCCGAATAAAACTTTTGAAATATGAATTACGCACATAGATTTTAACTCATTAAATTTATTTTATTTCAATCAAGCATTATTTACTATTGGATTTGATTTTGAATCCATGATTTTAGACACAAAATTGCTCTAGCTGTATGTGACTCCAAACTTTTCATTATGTAATTGTTTGACCTGCAATGGAAAGCAACACTTGTTAATAAGAATAAATTGTTTATTTTACATTTTAAGAAAAGCATTGTTTTATTTAGTGATGTTAGCCGGCTAAAAAAAATTTATCTTAACATTCATTTTTACGTCCGGAATTTAGTGCAGAATTCAGTGACATAGACGTTTAGTTGAGATGGGTCCACATGCATTACTCAGAGTGACAAAAAATTATACATTTGCTCAAAAAACAAAATACAATACATTATAGCAGGATAAAAGTCGTAGTTAAAGTTTCCATTCGTAATACAAATTCTCATTTTAATTCAAATCATTATTATTCATTTTATTCGAATTATTCGTTTTATTAGTTATATTGCTCGTTCTATTCGAATTATTCGAATTATTCATTTATTCGAATAAACTTTCAATGTAATTTGAATACTCAAATTCATACGAATAAAACAAATAAACCTTATTACCACTACTATCGTTATTATAATATCTCATCTTTAATGATTCGAGTAATAATATACTGGCAAGTTTAGTACCATCTGAAAAGCTTTTTCATCAACTGGATTTATTTAAGTTCTTAGCTGCTAAGAGTTGTTCGGCTTAGTCAGCTAGGGTTTTTCTATCAGTTAACATCACTAGTTTTATTATTATCTTTTGACGATTCTGACTAGCATTAATAAGTATTTAATTTAAAAACTTGAATTGATTATTGTTTTTTGTTATTTATCATCAATCTTACACAAAAACTAATCCTTGGCAGCGTGCGGCTCTTTTATTACTATATTCTTTTATCTTTTTTTTTTATTTTTTTTATTAGGCAAATTGACAATTTGCTTTTGTCCTTCTGTGGATGAGTGAACTCATCTGTTAAGTATTATATTTTTTTTTATTGTCATTTTTCATTATACATGAATCATTTATATTTGACTACTTTTTTTCATTATTTCATTAATTATTATTATATGCATCCATTAAAAAAGGCGAAGAACATTATTGAAGTTTTCCATCTTTTCGGCTATCTATTTCTCAAATTGGTTTAGGCTTTTTATCTTTAATATTAAATTTACTGATTCGTGAACTTGTATATATATTAATATGTAATTTTTTTATTAATTATGCAACAACTCTTTAATCGACAATAAAAAACAAACAAAACAAGTTCTTTTTCCAACAAATAAATAATAATAATAACAATGTTGGCAAGAATATTATTGCCGATTTTCAATGGTTACATAGTGTCTTCTTGTGATTCACTTTGAAATCTTGGGATTCAATTTTTTTGTGTAAAATCGATCACTCTGTGATTCAAAATATGCGAGATTGAAAAGCGTAAATCAGAGAAGTCTTCAAATTAAAAAAGTAGGCGAGGATCTCCTTGGATTTATTTCTGTATTACATAAATATTATTAAAGTTTCACAAAAAATTTCAATGACTCACTGCGCATCCTCTACTAAAACCT